ACTCGAGCAGCAGCGTTCTGAATCAGCTGCAGCTTTCTGATGGATTTTTTTGTGAGCCCTGTGAATACACTATTGCAGTAGTTGAGTCTGCTGAAGATAAAAGCATGGACAAGTTTTTCTAAATCCTGTTGCGACATTAGTTTTTTAATCCTAGATATGTTCTTCAGGTGATTGTATGCAGACATAATAACTGTTGTAATGTGACTGTTACAATTCAGGTCTGAGTCCATCACTACACCTAGATTTCTAAAGCATGTGAAGGACACTGTTCAGGAACTAGTTGTGCCATATGCTCTGTATGTGATGACTACTTCCATTCTTGCAAGGATAATAAATACATGTATCCTGATATAGCTCAAGCCGGTGACGAGTGATATGTTTCTAACAACTCTCAAAGCTCCTGACATTAATAAACAGAAAACCCTTGTATAGTTTAAAAAAAGAACCATAGATAAATACAAACATGACCTGAATTATGAACTTTTTCTGTACCAGCTTTGTGTCTTACAAAAGAGAGACAGCCCCACCTTTTAGAGCAGCTACATAATCAGGTTAGACCACTCAACAGTAACATACCCTGATGGCGGCCTTGTTGCAGTAGACCCGGGTGACAGCCAGCCAGGTTGGCAGGTCCAGCATGTTCTGCAGAACCTCTTCGTCAAGCTCCAGGTTGGACAGCTGCCCCTCCCCCTTCAACGTGCTAAGGTTGATCTTGTCAGGGGACAGATTCTTGGTGAACCTAAGGAAAATGAGACAAGAGTAAATATTGACAGCCTAAATCTGGAAAAGCTTCATTCATTTTTAACCAAGGGAAACACCTGACATCATCAGTACGTCACTGATGATCGAGGAGACAGGAATAAAGAAAATTAAATTATGCAGCTTGGCTAAGATGTTTCTAAAGCAGTGCAAGTGCATGAGTCATTCTGAGAAAACACAGCAGTCTCCGTACTAGAGCCACAGCTGTATTTCCCATCTTGGTTAACCTCTCTTAGGGTGCTAGTGCAGCGAGCTCCAACAGCCTCCAACTCAAAACAGGGTGAATATAGCATCAATGGAAGTAAATCAATTTGTCAAGTATTTGTATTTCATATCCATGACTGAACACTGTTCTGGCATATCTCCATGACATTTCAGACATCAGCCAAGAGACACACTGTATTGTTCTTGTTTGACATTTAGCCTGCTGCTTTTTAAACAGAGTTTGGCACACACAGATTGATTAACAGTATTAAATAAACTGATGAGATGATATTTAAATGTGGTCCAATTTGTCGACATGTTTAAGATTGTTTGGCTTCACACCATGCTGTACTTGATAAGCCTGATAAGCCAGTCAAAGCTTAAGCTTCTCTTCGACACTCAGCAATAAAATAAAAGCTCAACACTTCTTTTGTGAACAAAACATGGGCCGCTGCTCTCATTTAACGTTAACTCCCACACTTTTCAAGTGCCTTTAATGATAGGTGTAGAGCTAGTTCACATGTCCAAAATACCAAACAGCTGGCGTGCAGCGTTATGCATTGTAATACACTTGCTTTTGGATTGGCAGAATTTTAAAAAAGCGATTTGGTGGTATTTATTATCAAGACATACGTTGGAGTTAAGACTACTGAAAGACTAGCAATGTAAACTAATAACTCAGATTAGCATGGTTCAAAGAGTACAGAAACCCCACAGCTTATCTGAGGCAAGAAGGAGTGCATTGTACAAGTTTTGCCTAAAGTAAAACTGTTTGGTTTCACAATTAAACAATGTTTCGTTTTTATACGATTAACACAAAAAATATCCATAGAAATTGTCAATTTAGTTTGAGAAGTCCATTGTATGTACGTTTAACACAGTGGCGTTGTACTATAGATAGACGCCATAAGAATACATGTAGGAAGGCCTGGGTTAAATCGGATGTGATCTTGTCTACATCCTGGGTACCTGCTTTACAAATAACGCTACACAAAGACCAACTGAATCTATGCATAGACTATAAATTCAATAACTTTAATCCTATGTGCTCGCATTTCTACTGACCAAGTCTGTGTCCAGTGTGTCCTACTGTGACAATTTTGTTTTAATTATTCAGTGTCAGAGACAACACAGGGAAGGAGAATAAGAGTTGGTCAAATAGAAGAAAGACTGTGATTGAACACACACCTATTGTCCAGTGTCATGATAATCTTCAGCCTTTTTACATCATCCAGCTGGAGTAAGATACACACATATCGACATCGCTCTCCATCCAAAATGTATTTCTTAACAACTTTCAGCAGTACAAAACTAACAGCAGCTCACCATTTCTGATGCAATAAAACCTAAAAAGGAGCAAAAATAGCATGCACATGTCTTGGCAGCATCACAGAAAGAGGAAGCAGGTATAGAGAAAGAGGAGCAGTCAGCTCTGGAGAGGATGCTGAAGGTGACAGGAATACAAAATATGCCCATGTACACTATGGTGCCAGATTGAATACATGTTGCTGAATGATGACATTGATGGGACTACAAGAACATAACTGACTACTCTGAGTTGGGGATGAATACATTAAAGCATTTTCGCCCTAGATAGGCTAGATTATTAAAATATTTCCTCTAATAACCTACCCATGAAGAAAATGTGTATTTCTCCTTGAGGAAGTGGCATTGTTTTAAGCTTTACTGTGTATAAGAAATCTATAGTAACCTTATAAATAGATAGATGGATGGAGTTGAGTGATAATGATGATCTAATATGCTACTTTCAGAGACATTTTTTAAGTTTCTATTGTAAAGTAATTATGATGCCCTGGACCCTTAAACGTTAAGTGTCTAAGTAAACAGAGGGGTACAATAATGACAGATGTGAGGCCCATTTTATATAGCTTAGTAAAGCTATTAAAGGCAGTCTGTAGAATATAACAGTATTAAGAACACGTGCATTCAGTTGTGAAAGTAATTTAATTGTATCCCGTTCAGGTTTAACGGGTTTGTTGCGTTCACTGTCCCTGTCAAGTTAACTCATCATTACGTTATTCTCATGTGGCTGTAACATGTAGCGTTAAACTAGTTGGTAACCAGTGTGTAAATCAATGTAGCTAGCTTCACGTTCGATAGCAAATACTAGCAGACTGTGGTTGGCTGTGTGTTGGGCAGTAACGTTAAAACATCATCCAGCCGGGCTAACTGGCTAACACAAAACGCCAAAGATGACACTTACCGTGACAAATGTTTCAGAATCTGCTTTTTGATTAATCCGGCCATTTCTGCTGGCGTCCTTGTCGTGCAGAAACAGCAGTAAATAAAACAAACACTATCCTGCAGGCACCTCTTTATTATACACAGCCCGAGCTCTGTGCATCTTTCTAGCCGCTGCTACCTCGCTAAACGCCGGACAGCAACTCACTCACCCCCCTTCTCTCTGTCTGACGAATACACACATATACACACACTCCAAAAAACAACAACACAAGAGCTTTAACGACACATTGACGCCACCTGCTGGATATTGCGGGGAGAACAGAGCAGAAAATCACAGCAATCACGACTACTTCTACTTATGCATCCAAACTAATAATACTTGCAATTATGCAATGATAAAGTGGTGGTTGTGTGTTATTACCTAAATTAAATCAGTTAATCAGAGTGAAAAATGAATCTATATTTAAAACCTTTTTTCAAATGGCATCTTTGTTCTATGTGAAAGAGCAACACAAGAAAAACATATTAGATCATACACATTTTCAGAGGGTAAGATTTATAATTAAAAAACAACCAATTAACTATTATAGATTTGACAATGTATATAATATGAGTGAATCTATGATGCATTTTGTAACAAACTAAACTTTATATATCGTGATCATTTAATTGATGTCACTGAATCTGATATCCTTTTAAAGCCCCCATGCAGAGTGCCATACACCCAACTTAACATGGGGTACTCAACATATCTTAACATTGTGCAGTAACATTATTTTTCTTTTTGCAAATCATCTGAATGTTAGGTTTAAATGTGAAATACCTTGGGATGGAAACCTGGCTATACCTGAAACCTTTTACCTGGCCATGTAGTACGTAGTAGAGGTATATTAAACACTTTAAACAGGTCGAACTGATATCACACCACATTCTTCCCTTGTAAAAATACTATATTGGAAACAATATTATATTATAAAGGAAACTTACTATTCTGCAAAGGGTCATCACAATATTTTACAACCAATAACCGTTTTTTCCATCTCTTCATTGTAGTTTATCGAACTCAACCCTAATAAGTGACATTAAGACAACACAGACATATTTTAGAATGATACAGTGAACATTGTAGATGTGACACAGGGCAAGAAAAGTAGTAAAGACAATATTAAGTACTTAACTAAACTATGGATATAGTTATTATTGTTTATAAAGTGGATGGACTCAAAGTACAAGTTCAACACTGAAATATATATGTTGTGTTTGGAACACGAATAATTTACAAAAAACATAAATCCACCTTTAAACTGAAAGAACATTGTGAGAAGAGAAACAATCAGGTAAACAGACAACCTAAGAGGCATTACAAAAGCAATAACTTGAATATATACTTTGTATATGCTTTATATTCATCGTTATAAGAGGTACTTTATTGATTCCAATTTGGGAAATGTTTGCGTTGCAGCAGCATAAAAATCAATAAAACACGGCATTGCACATAAGTAAAAAATAAACAGTAGAAATAATAATAAGAGTAGAAATAAACAATACTAGAATTTAAATATCTCAAAATAGAATTAAAGCAGCATTAAAAAGTAGAAAATATACAGTAGATTTATAAACTCTGACATTAAAACACTATTGAAGGGTTTACATATATTTATTTGATTTAAAGTATTTGGAAAACATAATAAATCAACACAGAACGAGGGAGTATTATCGAGTAATAATTATCCCAAAATAATACCATGATTAATCTGAAAGTTTCTCTCCTAAAGGCTGGCTCCAGAGAGTCATCACCACACTCTGCTGGCTGATAGGCTGAGCTGCGAAACTGAATCATGTGACATGCGCACTCGGCCCTGTTGTTGAGTTTGTTATGACAAGTCGAGGCCTCGGACTAAATTAGGAAGCGAAGCCCCTGTTTCTGTCCGGGCGAATCGGAAGATGGAGGGCATGGAACTGGACATAGACCTGGACCAGGAGCTCATGCAGAAATTCAGCTGCATGGGAACAACAGACAAAGACATCTTAATCACGGAGTTTCAGAGGCTGCTCGGCTTCCAGCTCAACCCCGCCGGATGCGCCTTCTTTCTGGACATGACCAACTGGTGAGCCCGGGGACTCGTGGGGCCTGCTGTGCGCTTCATGCTAGATATTACTGTCAACTAGCTAGCTTTCTACAAGGGGATTTCACAGTACAACTTATATTTCATCGGTTAAAACATTAAAGTAAACCACAAGGTAGTGTTTTTGTTCATTGTGACAGAGGGGGTGGCTTTACGTTAGGTTTGTAACGTGGATACGACGCTGTAGTAACGTAACTAGCGTTAGCTGAGTCACCATGTTTGCCACTTTTGGTTGCCTTTAGGGACGGTAAAAAGGTAGTTTAGCAGGTATTGTGACACAAAATGATACTCCAAACATAAACATTAACTAACAAACGAGTTCACATTAAAGCGGGTGGGATGTTTGAATGGAAATGAAGTGTTTTATTGTGAATGTGGTGGTTGCTAATAGGAATTGTAGGTTGGCCATCACTATTATGCAGTGGTGTTAAGTAACCAGGTATATTTACTCAAGTACTGTACTTACAAGTATGAGGTACTATTACTTTACAACAGTAGGCCTATCTTCATTTGATGCTTTTTCTCTTTTACTCCACTACATGCATTTGATCTGACCTTAAGTTACTATGCAGATTTGGATTAATGATATACAATATAAACACTTAAGACTTTAGTTACACTTGGACTAAATTCACAAACCACTCAGCAGTAAATACAATAATGTAATTATAATACATTACATTATAACACATTCATACAGTACAACATTTCGAAATTGGCCAATATGCATTATGACTACTTTTACTTTCGATCTTACTAGTGTATCTGGATGCCGATACTGTACTTTTACTGGATGAACATTTTGAATGCAGGACTTGTAACAGAGTATTCCTACTCTCTGGTATTTCTACTTTTCTTAAGTACAAGATATGAGTACTTCTTCCACCTCTGCTGTTATGCAAAGCTAGGCACCACCAGGGAGCTCGTCACTGAACTGATGATTCAAAGTTTATAGCTGATTTTCTCAGTCTTTGCATTGCTTATTGTGTTAAACACCTTTACGTTATCGGCAGCCATGGTGATCAAACGTTATGTCTGCCACTCGACGATAATCACAGTGGAGATCGCTGCTGTTTTATTACGTAACCTTCCCACCTAGTGCTCAAAGCTCATAGTGGTTGTTGTGCAACCCTGGACACAATGTATTATAATGTGTTAATAAAACACTACGAACACTCAAGCTGCGTCTTCCATTGCCACACTGATTCAATTAAACGAGTGAAAAACAATGCGCAAGGGACGCAAAGGTCATATTGAAGTATTGCCTTGGATAAATGTCTCTGCGCAGATGCAGTGTTAAGCCAATGCAGCTCCATGGAAGATAACAGTGTCTCAGGGCAGGCTGTAGTAGTAACACGTGACGCCGGGTAATAGCTCCTCTGCAACGGGCTTTCTAAAAATAAAAACTGCTGCTTTATGGATGACCAGCATGTCACGGGAAGCCCCCATTCGCAATCTCTCTGGGTCTGCAGGCATCTGTTTACCTCAATATATTGCACCAACCTAATCTAAAAAATGCCAAATTATTTTTTTATATAAAAGTATTATAGTACCATAACGTGCGTCCTTGTGGTTTCCAATTTGAGTGCTAGTAATTTGAGTGAAGACAATTATTTGTTTAAATTAGAATTGAATAACTACAGCTTCCATTTTGTTTAGCAGTAAACTGTACCATATAGCTAAGACTCCTGGGTATAGGACTAAAACCATTTATTGATATCGTTTGTTAAATGTCAGAAATAATGTTGACAATTACATTTTTATAGAATAACAGAACAGAAAAAAATATGTAAATAATTGTATAAAAATATACCATGACATGTAAAATATATGCTTTTAAAAAAAAGATTGAATAGCTGTATTGTTCAGTGTAGAAATGTACTAAACTTCTTCATGTGCAATTGCTGGATATATTCTGAGGATTTGGATTAATGTTATTGTAGTTTGTGGATACATTTGCGCTTAAGGTGTTTGGGCAAAGCAAGCAATATCAAGAATTCACACTAGGCTTAAGAAAATTGTGATTTTTCACTGTTTGACAGTTATAGACCAAAAGTTGATTAATAAAAGATATGACCTACATTTCACAAACAAAGGGCGCATTAGTAAAACGCTTGATATGTTGAAATGTAATCCTTATTAAATAACGTATTTTATCAAAATGTCGTAAATAAACTAGCTACTAAATGTGTCATATCTGTGCATACTGCAGACAAATCATGGAGTTTCTTCTACACAAATCATATGTTATACTCATATTGAGAATCTATATCTGTACTGATCACCTGGATTTCTGTCTTCTAATGTCACAGGAATTTACAAGCAGCCATCGGAGCCTACTATGACTTTGAGAGTCCCAACATCAGCGCGCCGTGCATGTCCTTTGTGAGTGACGTGACGATTGGTGAGGGAGAATCAGTTCCACCAGACACACCTTTCACGAAGACCTGGAGAGTACAGAACACAGGTAAGTCTGCTGGGATAATAGATCAGAGGTGACACCAGCTTTATGAATTAAAAAATAAATAAGACTCACATTTCAAGCCAAGTTCAGCACATTCTCTGTGTGTGTTCCAGGTCCAGAGTCCTGGCCTCCCGGTGTTTGTCTGAAGTATGTCGGAGGAGATCAGTTCGGTCATGTAAACATGGTGATGGCGCGGTCTTTAGAACCTCAGGAGGTGGCTGATGTCAGTGTTCAGATGCAGAGCCCTGCGACTCCTGGCATGTACCAGGGCCAGTGGAGGATGTGCACAGCCACCGGACTGTACTTTGGAGGTGAGGACAGAGAGCTTTACAGTAGAAAGAAAATGTGAATTCTTGCAATATGGAATTTATTAGTTAGTCTATCAACAGAAATATTATTGGCCCCTACTTTGATAATGCCTTCAGCAATTCAGTTCCTTTTATAGCAAAACTTCCAAACATTCACACACCCACCATGTGGGTTTTGTTGCTATTGCTTTTTTATATCCTTTTACAAACAAGACTATTTTTGGTTTCTGGACTTGTAGGCAGACAAAATTAAGCTTTTTGGTTATGTCACCTTGAGCTTTTAAAACATTTGTATAGACTACAAGAATACAGCAGTTGACAAATAAAAGTCCTTAGTTGGAACTAAGCTGCCAACATTTCACAAATCACTGTAGTTAACAGCAGGGGACAACGGTTGTTATTTAAAATAAGTGCTACAACTCAAAGAATGGTTGAGAAACAACCAGACGTGCAATCACCGCTAAATGCACTTTAACACAGGGGTATCTCCTCTTGCACTTTATGCATCTCTTGTATCATCTCTTGCACTTAATATGTCGTTGCTGCTATAGTGTACTGCCATGTGGTAAATACTTGCGTGTGCTGCTCTTGCTCTTTTGCATATCATGTATTTATTTTTTGCCATGTTTACAAATGTCATGTTCTTATATGCTGTATGTCAGGGACTACGGATGGAAATCAGCTCAAAGCTAAAATCCGGCATATTTACACTTGAAGCATTATTTGTCTAAAGTGTCCATTAATGTGCATTGTCCCTATTCAAATAAACGATTAAATGAAATGACATCATTTGGTGTGCTTTTCCTTTAGTGAAAACTATAACAAATGATTGAATGGCCTTCCCATCAGCACACACAAAATGCATTAAGAGTCATTCATTTACTTGATTTACATCCTCCTGCAAATTTAAATGTGTGTGATGGATCCCAACAGGAAGTCCCTCAAGCCTATTTATAGAGGGATACTCAATTAAACATTATACTTGGCCTTAATGTTTCATTAACTCCACATAGAGATAATTTGTCACTTTAACATCATCAGTCTCCTAGTGACTTTTATAGAGAAGAATTGCAGACCTGGAGGATATTGTGGGTGTGTGGTCCAGCTTCATATTACAGGATAATTTGTATTTTCAGACTCGTTAGCATCATTATTTGGTAATTAGTTTAAACCTTACACACTTCGGTACATCTTTGAGAGTGGCAGACTGTTAGTGGCTTTGTGTATCATACCGTGCGTTTTGCTTCCTTTGACAGATGTCATTTGGGTGATCCTGAGTGTGGAAGTTGGAGGCCTCCTCGGCGTCACACAGCAGCTTTCCTCTTTTCAAGCAGAGTTCAACACCCAGCCTCACCGCGCTCTGGAGGGCGACTACAACCCCTTCGCCTCTCCAGAGAAGAGCAAGTGCCCCAACAGCAACAACAACAGCATGCACGATGCCAGCGGACACAGAGGCCCAGAGGAACATTGGCAGGGAAACCCCAACCAGCTGCAGCAAGATCAGAATGGACTTTCACACAACTCTGTGGATCTAGTAGCAAACAGTCTACAAAGCAATCTATCAGTAGTATCTTATAACCAGGTAAGACGGGAGGGTTCTCCAGACATGTGAATCGTGGTTGATTTCTTTACATTTCTAGCTCTAGAACCTGGTTGCAACATATAGAACGTTAAGTATCGGGATATTTCTTGAATGCACGTTAAACATACATTTAAAATCGTTAAAGGAATACCAAATTATGTTTTTATTAATCTGAGGTGAAATCTGTTAAAAGTTATCCAAAATTCTCAGGGTGGCAACATTAGATAATTATTTGGATGCTTATACTCTTTAACATATTAAGCTGCAAAGAGGTTTATTCCTCCCATGTTCCGATGTTTTGACTAACAAGACTAATGCTACGTTCCACTAAGGAATCATTGTTATCTTAGTTCTAGTCCCAGTTTAGCAAAGCAAGATTTATAGTTAGTAAATCCACATTTAAAACTAAACCGCTCATAAAACTCAGGTGGATCAGTTCTCTCCTTTAGTTAAAAGGCAGTCATTTTTAAAGCATAACCTCTTCTTGTAAGTTTAACACATTAAGTTTGTTGCAACAACATGTAATCTATATTTAGAGTAATAACTGAACTGATGTTTGAAGAGAAGTTCACAGACAGGCTCGAGAAGGCAGTCCACACATGGCAACAAATCCAGAAAGGTTAGATGATAGCAGGTTCACTTATGGCGCATTTCCACTACAGCGCGGTTTAAGCGTGCCGTGCCCGACCCGTTTTTGGTTGCGTTTCCACTTGGCGTAGTTCCGGCTAGCGGGTACTATTTCACAGTTTTTCTGGCCCCATAAAATCGAGGTTCTTTCCGGGCCAACAACCAGGCTGAGTCGGGCTGAGTATGCTAAACTAGAGAGAGAATCGCTGGCAAGGGGGCTACAACTAGAACAAAATGAACATATTTGACCGTGATTTAAAAATTGTAATACACGTTTCAAAATGATGCCGAAGTAACAACATACTGATACCGGTCAGTAAAAACCATGAATTAATGCTTTGGCAAGTCTGCAGACAGACGGCAGGCGAAAAACCTTTTAAAATGCGTGTTTTCTGAATGGAGATTGGCTAAGCTAACGTTGTATATGCTCCTACCGTCCACACTCACAACGGCCTACAGACATAAATAAACCAGCGACTGTACTCACCATGACACAGGCAGTCTGTGGTTTGTACTTTTTAACTTTTGTCTAGTTTCTGAACAGATATGAGGAGCTGTGAGCTCTGAGTGCTAACAGCTAACGGCTGACGTTGTTTTTCTGTGGTTCGCATTGAAGATGACGTCACGGCTCCGCCTACACTGCGTTACTATAGATACTACCCCAGTTCCTAAACTGTAATGGAAACGCAGCATAAAGTGAGCCAGTCCTAACAAGGCCTAACTATACCGTACTAAGCCGAGCGAGGCCCTGCAATGGAAATGCGCTATTAGATGTATTACCTGGTGCACAGCCCTCCTGTTTCATGGCCGTCATGATGTTGCTCATTAGCCGTGTGTCCAGTCTTTGAATATTGGTAAAGCGGTGTCGTTCCCACATAGTCCATTCACGTCCATGTTCACTTCCAACCGGTACATTTTTTATTCAAGCACTGCAAACTTTAATAGAGGTTTGTGGTAGTCATCTGAGAAGAGCATCTTGCTGCTAATTAGCTTTAGCTCAGTAGAGCGTTGCCATTCACTGAGGTCAAGGCTTGAGCGGTTGGTAGGCCACGCTAACAGAGGACTGAGGAAGTCTCAAACATTTTGAAATATGGCAAAATCACACTTAAGTAATAACAAAAGAGAATAGTTTCAGTGATTCAGTGATCCTGGAGTAGCTCCTCCAAGTTTCTCAGAGAAGATGAGAAGCCTCTTTACTGTAAGAAAGCAAGTATTGGGAGAACACAGATTGGCAAACATGACAAACTGGCAAAGAGCTGGTTTTATATACTGCCTGACTGATGAGATCATTAGTCAGGTGTGTCAACAGCTGGAGATGATTGGACACCTGGTGGACAGGTGGAGAACAGCAGGTCTGGAAGGCAGATTGAACCAAATCAAAACGACTGAGGCCGCTTTTGTTGAAATGTTAGCAGTCATTTATCCAGTTTTCTATTATCCTGCAGCCCTACTGTCTGTTTGTAATCATTTCTCTTCCTTACAGGGTATACAGGAGCCTTTTCCTTTCGGGCACTCTTAAATCTTGGGACTTGTCACAGTGAAGCAGCACTGAACCTCTGGAGTCTGTCACACCAATACAAGAAAGAAGATGCTTTATCAGTAGCTGGTAAAGAGTGTGGAGATTCAAAAAAAACTTTATGCAAAGACCAGCTACACTTTGACAAACCAGAGGCCAACGCTCCGACGTGCAGCTCAACAACATCCCACCACTCACTGTATGCACGTGTGAATGCTAAGTTAAAAATGAGTGCTATGAGTCTTTTGAGTGATAACTTCTTTCTTTTTCTTTTTTCAGATTTTTAGTTGTCAGAGTGCAAATGAAATAATGATGACGGGCGTGTGTGTGTGTGTGTGTGTGTGTGTGTGCGTGTGTGCGTGTGTGTGTGTGTGTGCATGTGTGTGTATTGTGCAACCTGAAAGAGAGACTATGGAGGAAAAGCCATTTATTTTGCCAACTGATTCTCCAGTTTCTGCTCTGACTCTTGATATATACATTCATTTTTTCTGGACCTGTAACTAAATCAAAAAAATATGGACATCTCTGAAACCAACCATTGGATTTCTTTATTTACTTTTTATCTTTTAATATCCACTTTAGAGTAAGGGGGACAGCCACATGCTTTGGAAATACATCTCAAGGTCCTTCATGGCTTGTGCATTATGGGCAGTCATTTTGATGCTTTCATAGTACCTACCATTTTTAAATGCGATGCAATTTCCTCCACTGGGGGGGGAGTGAGACATTATTCTATCAAACAGAAGATAAGAGAAACAGATATTTACAGTATATCTAAGTTTATTCTGCCTCATTGTACAGACATTTTCTTCTGGATCTGGAGCCAACCATTTTTATTATGCCTTCTATAGTCAGGTACTTTATATATATTCATATACAGAATATTTGCAGAATATGATGCAGTATTTAAAAAAAAAAATCCCTGTTATTGTATTAAGCTTTTTAGTTTTGCTTGGAAATAAAACACAAGATAAGAGAATAAAGCATTTATGACATACGACATTGAATCCAAGCCATATGAAGAGCGGTAAAAACATGACTTCATAAAAAACAAATGTTCTTAGTCTGAATTTCTATTTGAAAAGCTGTCATAGAGTTTATCATATTAAGTTGAATGTATTTGATGAATGTAGTAGAAGATCATTATTTGGAAACATTCATTTACCCAAAGATACAGCATTGTATATTTGCATTGAAGTGGCCGTTTTATTAGTATAATTATTGTTCCGAATATCCCTGTTTATTGTTAAAACGATGCTTACATTATGCCACATTAGAGTCTGCACTTCATAGTCGAGCTCATTAAACACATCTGATCCTTGTTGATGGTTTCAGATGCAAACTGAACTGCACCAGTGACAGACGGCTCTTTGCATTGTTACTGCATATCTATTTGCACTAACTGTCTGTCCATGATAAGGCCTGTCTGTGTCCCACAAAGACAGTTATGTCCTGAAGGGTCTGTGACTTTATCTCATCATCTACAGCCCGAGTGTGAGACCACCTCTCCAGGTAAACCCTCTGTTATTGAGGCACAAACTGTAAGCCCCAGGGTTACTGCGCTCTGACAACAGGACAATACTACACCACGTGTTCACGGTATGAATGTTCCTCCTGGCTCTCGATGCCAATTCATCAGTATGATATTTAGTTCTGAGTCTCTCTGGGGTTTCCACTGGCCAGATTGCAGAATGAATCAGTTGGCATTAGACTCATACAACAGCACATTTTTGAGAGTGAGGAAGTGCAAACGGATAAGCTTTTTCCCCCTGTATGTTTGATGAATGTTTGTATGATTAAATTATCACTGAAAACTCAAGTCTCGTGCTCTGTCTTGTTATAGTGCAGAAGAGTTTATTCACCATTTCCAGGAGTATAAACCTCAAGGCGTCAGATCTGAATTGAGGATTAAACAAAACATGATTTCTTATTTCCACATGGTCAAATATGGTTAGATTTATATACTTTTAAACCTCCATTAGGCATGTTTTGTATTGTGGGATATGTTTTCTTGTTAGCAGATCTGTATCCGTTTTCGTTCACGAGTGATGTTATTGAGATTAAAATGATTTGATGTACAAGGACATGCAGCAGATATAAAATGTTCTTTTACACTGCTTTAAATCTTTTTCTGAAATAAACAGGGGCTTGATTTGTATTTCAAGGGGTTTACAGTGGCTTTTTGGGGGATAAAGAAACACTACATCTACATTAAAAGCCTGAAACAAGACAGTACTGCATAACAAAATTAATTTTTACCATAAAATAAACCTGCAGGCCTTCTAATAGTGAAGCATAAACTCAGACCTATTGTGCTGCTATATATTCAGAAAGGGTTATATAATATTATGACGAGTGCAGTTGTCTCAGGTGTCAGAGAGCACTCCACAAACATAACAAATGATAAGGGAGATGAGAACAGTTTGTATTGGAGGTTTATTTGAAGAAAACGTTAAACCTGCAAGAGACAGGTCAAGGTGAGTATGTCTCAGATAAGATGACATGTCAGCCTGGAGGTTTCAAACAAACTCTTCTGAGGTGCCTCACAAATGACACGGGTCCATTGTGTCGATTAACGGCCCAAACTGTCTGAAGGAGCAGCATGCACTTGACGTGCACAGTTTCAATGTTGATTTTAGAGTAAGGAACAAAAAAACATTCTAATGTTGCAAAGTAAACGCAAGATTAGCTGCTGAATTACTCATTGTAAAGATCCAAAGGACTAAAAGTCTTGTTTTCAGTCAGGGAATAACCTATTTATTCTACTTTATCAACCCATGTAAGTGTGTAAAGCTGTAATTCTGATCCAAAAGCTCTTTAAAGATGATGTATATGGGTGGAAACACATGCAACACCTCTTTAGAATAGTTCAACACGACCACACAAATGCTACTGTTTAGTTTAAGCAAACATTTACACTCTCTCCATTTCTCTTTCCCACTCCCTCCCTCTGTGTACCAGTTATTCAACCTTTCTGATAATAGTTTTTTAACCTTTCAAAGCAGCTATTAACATTATTTTCCTGTGGATGATTTATTGATATTTTATGAATACTCTAGATATCACGTCCTTATAGCCAGCCTTTCTGATGTCATATGAGTTCAGAGTAAGAAAATACACTGATCCCACAATAAGATCTTAATAAGATATCTGTATTTCAGTGACATATTATGCAAAATATTAGTCTTTAGGCTATTTGTACTCATCCTTTTTTCATATTTTGAGTCCCCAAACAGGTCCTGATAACTATTTTTTTCACCATGGTAATTTACTTTCATTTCCTTTCCAGGAAAACATAACACTGCTATTTGCTTAAAGTTGGCTAAAATAAACAGTGGAGCAACGTGATAGTATTCGTCGAGTGTAGCACCTCATTAAGTTTTATTTCTCTTTGTCTGTGATAAGTTTCAAAGCTCCTCTGGTCTAAACTGCTCCCCACCTTTTACACACAACAGTGCACTTTTACATAATAACACCCATGGATCAGATTGAGATTTTATATATTTATCTAAAATAGTTTTGTGTTCACACATTTTGAACATGCTTTTAAAGACTCTGTTGGTGCCCCCATAGCTCCCCCCAGGCTGATAAGACTTCCCTAGGTTTGTCAACTGAAGGGAATCACCATGCAAATACTACCTTACGGCCCCAGGTCATTATTTAGTAGGCACTTAAAGCTACCTCCCTCCTCGGGACACACCCTTTCTTTCAGAATGTATATGTCACGAAGGCACTGTGTCCCTAATACGTCAAACATCAGGTGGGAAAAAAGGTGTTCAGATAGTTGGAGTGAAGAGAGAGTGAAGCAGATCCAGCTGTGCTGCACACGAGACACATCTGCACATCCTCACCTGGGGGCAACATAGAAACACAGGACCCTGACTTTAGGAACAGGTGAGGAGACGAGCCAGGCAGAGCTGAGAAGAGTCCTCTGCAATTAAAACTCTGCTGAAAACAACACAACAAGGTAAGACAGTTCACAACAAGACTCAAAATAATCGGTTATTACTGCTACTACTGTTAATACCACATGATAGTATCTGCCACTTGCACTGCTACCACTTCTTTGACCATGAAACATTCAAACCAATAGCTAAGTAAAAGTAGGAAAGCTTTCTGGAACTGTGCTCTTTCCCAAATCTTCATTATGACATACAGCTTTTCCTGTTTGCGGGGTCAACATGTGAAGTCCTTTCTCACAGAGCTTTAAATGGATCATGAGAGTTTTTAAAGTAGGAGCAGTAATGACGTCATGAATGAACACTTGTCATTGAGTTTTATGGTCATTTAAAAAAAATTGTGAAATAGTTTGTGTCATGTGCTGTTTTCCCTAAATATATATTTCGTTGTGGAGCTGTGTGTTCCTTAAAGGTCTATCTAGGCAGAGGCATTAACAAAATATCTTTGGCTTCAAGTGTCACAAATCAACTCTTTAATGTCACACATGCAGCCAAATTTAGACTAGTATTAAGAAGCAGACCCTGTGTTACCAAGCCAAGTCCCAACGAACTGATCTACTGCTTCAACTTTGGTGCTGGTTCATGTTATGCTTTCCCCTATACGGTTTTACATACATTGTTTCAAATAATTACAATCATTTATATTAAACAGTTATAGTAATCTCAATAGTTACACTGCCATGGCTCACTGGGACACTTCATTTCAATAACAAAAAGCCATTGCTAATGTTATTAGAATAAAACGTATCTTTATCAAATTTAACAATTCATACTGCTGTAGAAAAAACCTATGGATAAAAGAGCCAAAAAAAGCCCTCTTTTCAGAGTTTAATTTACTTAACGATTCATAAATTACCTTATATTATATTTCTGGTTGCTCATATGTTGATTTTGTATCTGGTCAAAGCAGAGTCAGTCCCAATGTCGAAGTTATATTACATGTATTTATTGAAAATATATCAAACTTAAATTGATGTATTTGAAATCTGGATGCAGACAATAATCACCTGTAGGCAAAACATGTTTTTCCCCCTTTTATTATCTTAAAAGCATATTTATAATTGGATAAAAGGCCATAATCACATTTTGTAAGATAAAAACCTGTAACAACACACACACAGACATTTTGCTGAAATACACACATTAACTCACAAAGGTGTGTAGTCAAACAACATTTGTCCAAAGAACAGTGGAATGCAACCATGAATGACCACAGCTTTTCATATCGACTCTATGCCTCTCATATCAGTTTGACTGCTATCTAAAGAGGTGTACAATATAATTCAACAAATAATAGACTTCTTTAATGAGCCTGACGCTTTCTTTTGAACACACAGAAATATATTTCCCAATAAGAAAGGATAATCTAGAAGTAACCATTTTGGTTTGTTTATAATTATTCATCTCCTGTTTTGGTAATCCTGCCACATTATATGCACTCAACACAACTCTCAAGATAACTTTTCTGGTCATTTTGGAAAATTAATAGGTTATCCCTAGGCAGTAAATACCCGTAATTAACCTCATTATTGTCATCAGTGCCTCCCCTTGTTCTACAAACATACTTAAGCAACTTTATCAGTTATTTCTAACCCCATTTTATCCAACAACTCCAACAATAATCCAACTTTTGAGTGATTTATCACACCACCTCGCTCCATGTGCCATTGTTTTGGACCGAAGACCAGTCACCTCATTATCAGTCTACCTTTCAGTACTTCATTCTCAATGTTTACCTATATTCAGCATAATGAGTCTGATAATGCAGGTACTTTTTTACACATCTCTTGTCATGCATGTTTGTCTTTTGGGATGTTATATATACTGTTTTCTTTTCTGCTGAGAGCAGTGGAGGAGAAAAGGCAAAAAGCTATACGGATTAAATAGATGCGTATCACTTGAAATGAAAACAGGTGTATTATTCGTCAAATCAAATACTGACATACCGCACCACTCCCAACCCAGTGAACTGTTCTCTTACTCATACCTTGCTGAATACGCTCTAGCGACTTATCTCTTATCCACAAATGATGTGTCCCACCCTTTATCCAACCCCTCTATTCTATCAAGTTTTTATTTATTTTTGTATCAATTTAAAGACCTGATATTCCAGGAATAAAAGCACTGGGTGTTACATTGAGATACTATCCAGACTTTTTGAAATGTCAGTAAGACAAACACATTTATTTTGTATTAGTTGTTTGAAAAAAGGTGTGATTTCATGTCTTTATCTGTAGTTATTATCTTAAAGGTGGGGTAGATTGCTTTGTGGTATTGTTGATTGATGGTGAAATTAACAGTAAGTGAGGTCAGAATTCAACACATGCTGAACTCGTTTGGCCTTGATGTTCTTTCAGATTCAAACGTGAATCAGAATGTACTTTTTTGAGTTACTTCGAAACACAATGAAAGTCAAACAAAGAGTTTAGCTTCCATTTTAACAAACACACTGGCTCCACTTAGCAAAGCTGGAATGACAGATTCCTTACTTCAAATATACGTCCCAGCTGAGCAAATACCTTGGAACAAATATCAAGCTTATTTTTAGGACTTTTACTATTTAAATATTGAGCATTTGGGCAGGGTGGCATCAGTGCAACTATGTCAATAATGAAAATGTCAGGTAGGGTGTAGATTGTTTAAGAACCTGATGATAAGATATCATGACAGGTCTTTCTTTTTTTCACAGTTTTTCTAACAAACATGAGCATGGGGAGTCCAGGCTGTGAACACACTGCATACTCACCTCTGTACATCAGCCCCCCTCACTCTGACGCCCGGATAGCCTGGCTGGACGAGGCGGACGACATCAAACCCCCCCGCAGCTTGTTGGGGCTTCCTGAGCTCAGCTGGACGGGGGTCTACCTCCCCTGCAACAACATATTAGCTATGGAGGAGAACCCCTGGGTGCTGAGGATGACAGAGTCTCCTGCCGCTCCCCCATCCAGGACACTCGAGGTGAGCCAAGCACCAGGCCAGACTCAGACTCCCTCCTATGAGATGGAGGGTCAGGTGGAGGAGCACTGTCTGGAGCAGGTGCAGACCATGGTGGAGTCAGAGGTGCTGAAGGATGTCGACACGGCTTGCAAACTGCTCAACATTGCACCAGGTAGGCCAGGATACTATACAACATGTGCAATATTATTATTATTAATAATGTGCAATGATAACGTGCAATTACGTATCTGCCACTACGTTTTTTTCACTACTAAATACAGGTAATATTTACATTAATTATGTGACCGTCTATGTTTCATGTTTCCTGTAGATATTTAATTGCTCTTTTTACTGCACTTTTAGTGTACAGTTTTACTATTATGCTGCTGTGTTTATTTTATTTTTGTAACTCTGGCACAACAATTTCCTTCGGGATAAATCAAGTCTTATCTTATCTTATACAATTACTGTTATTAAAATAAACCAAAAAGAGGCATTTGAATAGCTGTTAGAAAGTGTTGGCAAAAGTTGTAGTGCTGATAAAATACAAATGTAAAAGCATTCATTGTCTGTTGCTCTCACACCAACTTCCAGAGTGAACATCAAAGACCCAGCCCACCTTGTGCAAACGTTTCTGTTGACAGACGATCATCTTCCCTTCTCATGAACTGAGTCTTATCTGGAACCTTTAAAACATACAGTGCATGTGTGGTTATTTGCTCTGTAAACATCACACTTCTTCTCAGGAAGTAGGAAACATACATGAGGGCCATCATTTCATTTCACATCATTTGAAATAGTTAGCCAGTGAATTGAGAGTAGCATGATTACATTATCGATAAAAATATATGTTGTTATAAATGGTGAGACAATTTAAAAGACAAATAAAACCAGTCATGTGGTCTTGACTCTAAAACTAACTTGATTATTCAAACAGCAGTTTTAGGTTTGTTTCTCTGTTCTGGTTTCTCTGTTTCTTAAAATGTTATTTTTTTGTAATGTAAAGTTAATCAAATGTTTGATAATTGTTCTAACTCTTAAATCAAGAATAAGGCAATTATAAAACAAAAAAAACACATATCTGTTAATGCCCTATTGGACTGAAGTTGTTATACCATGTGTTCTGACCTTGTGGTGAGTTGTGTAAAATAAACTCTTTGTGTTTCCCTCTTTAGACCCGCTGGACTGGAGCTGTGTGCACGTTCAGAAGTGGCTGCTCTGGACCGAGCACCTGTACAGGCTGCCGCAGGTCAGCACCTTGTTTCAGGAGATGAACGGGAAGGATCTGTGCTCCATGACAGAAGCAGAATTCAGACAACGCTCTTTGCAGTTTGGAGACATGCTGTATGCTAATCTGGACATCTGGAGATCTGGTAAGAATAACAGGAACATGGGGAAATTAACCTTCATCATCTCTCAAGTTATGCAAATAAGGAAAGTGTAATTATGATGCAAATGAAGTGTGAGAAAGAGCTCCTTTGATGTAAACAACTCTTTATTGTCTGTTTGTTTAGCTGCAGCAATGAAGGAGCGCTGTCCACCTGAAGACAGAAAATCTGGTACGCTCTCATTTATAACTAGATTTTTAACTAACTAACGCAATGATTTCTCTAATAAAAATACTGAGGTAAAACAAGGTGAAGTTTTCTGATAACCTCTTCTTCTCCAGCAGCTGATGATGACTCCTGGTCAGATTTGATAAGGAACTACCCCAGCCAGCCCATACACCTGTGGCAGTTCCTCCGAGAGCTGCTCCTAAAGCCTCACACCTACAGCCGCTGCATCCGCTGGCTTAACAAGGAAAAAGGTAAGGTGATGCTACATGCTAATGCATTATGAAACATGTATTTAATGTTTGAGAATAAATGCAAAACTGGGAATTAAAGTAAAGTGACATGAAAGAAGAGTAAAACATTGAGAGAATAAGCTAATTTGTTTTGTTGCCAAGAGTTAGATGAGAAGATCAATAGGTACCTCTGTCACGCCTGTGCGCTAAATATAGATGTTAAGTAACTAACTTTAGCTTAACATAAAGACTGGAAGAGAAGGAAACGGCCAGTCTGGCTCTGAAGGAAAATAATCTTCCTCTTCAATGCAAGTCTCCGGGCCCAGCCAATAAATAGTTCAGTTTGTAGGCCTAACCCCTTATAAACCATAACTTACTTTTCATGTCGCTTGTTGAATGGCTTACACACACCAATTCTATTTAGCTGATGAGCTTGACTAGCTTTTTCCCTAGTTTAGTTTCCTACATTGTTTAAGCTAAGATAACTGTCTCCTTGGTTTAGCTTTATGGGTGGTATCTATCTTCTACCTTCTCAGAGTGGTTTCTATACGCACACCCTGATGAAAAGACCACTTCAAAATCTAAACTGAGTACATTTTTGTTTCCTCCTTCCAAAGGGATTTTCAAAATAGAGGACTCAGCTCTTGTGGCCAGGCTTTGGGGCATCAGGAAGAACCGCCCGGCTATGAACTATGACAAACTGAGTCGCTCCATACGCCAGTACTACAAGAAGGGCATCATCCGAAAGCCTGATGTTTCACGCAGATTGGTCTACCAGTTCGTCAAACCCGTTTGATAAACCAAAGATATGCTGGACATACCAACCCAGTCTCACGGCATTTTGTGTTATAGTCACGAAATTAATTTAATCTATTGATTCGTGTTCACCAACACGATTTTCGCATTTTTTTCGTGTCACACAGAACGATTTTAAAAGCAATGTATTTCTATTGGTAGTATGTTTCGTGCCTGCAACACGTCTTTTTGTCCGGTCGGGTCTTGGAATACCAGAAGCTGTGTGGTTCATAAAAACATGTTCTTACTCAATATCTTACCCTAAGCCTAACCCTATCCCTTTTATTTTAAATTGTATAATGTGGGAGTTTTTTTGCCGTCCACGAGGAAAAGAAATGGGGCAAAGAGCCTCAGAATACTGAAATCTGTATTTTTTGTCATCTTTTTTTCCTTCTAATTTGTTATTATTTGGTGCAGGCACGAAACATACTACCAATAGAAATACATTGCCTCTAAAATTGTTCTGTGTCAGAATATTGAAATCTGTATTTTTTTTTATCTGTTTTTCCTTCTAATTTGTTATTATTTACATTGCTTTTAAAATTGTTCTGTGTGACACGAAAAAAATGGCGAAATTGTGTTGGTGAACACGAATCAATAGATTAATTTCGTGACTATAACACGAAATGCCGTGAGACTGTGTTGGACATACAGTAGAAGTAACATAAACCTTGAAGCTGGTTCATTCATTGTACAACATGTTTCATTTCAACTGTAAAGACTGCCTACTGAACTATGCACTCCTGCCTATCATGACTATTTTATTATTCTTTATACCGATTATATTTAATTTGTCTTAAGCACTCTTGTTGAAATGTAATTTTGGTGTGATGCTTGGTTTCTCAGAAGGACTTATATTTGAAATAAATATTGTTAGTTTGCTTTCTTCCAGAGAACTAACAGATATTTACATCACTCTTCATACAGTGTAGCTGGTGCTAGCAGTCAGCTAGCTTAGCTTAGCACAAAGACAGGAAATGACCAGCCTGTTTCTGCCAAAGGTTAAAAATCACGTGCCTGTGAGCACCTTTAGTACTCAATATTTAAAACTTGAATCTTGTTTTCTTAGTGAGTTTGACATGTGCTGGTAGGTTAGGTACATTGGACATAGCTAGGCTAGCTGAGCTAACTAGCTGCTTGTTTCAGCTACAAATGTAGCATGCATAGGCTACATTGAAGTGAGCGGTGTTAATCTTCTCATCAAACCCCAGCCAAGGAAGAAACTGTCAAACTAATCCTTTAAATTCTCCTTTTTTTGTATAATGACACTTTTTTGTTATTCCTATTCACACTATTGGCGCATTTCCACTGCAGGGCCTCGCACGGCTTAGTACGGTATAGTTAGGCCTTGGTAGGCCAGGATCACTTTATGCTGCGTTCCATTACAGTTTAGTAGATGGGGCAGTAACTATAGTAACGCAGTGTAGGCGGAGCCGTGACGTCATCTTCAATGTGAACCACAAAACCAACATCAGCCGTTAGCTGTTAGCAGTTTTCTGTTCAGAAACTAGACAAAAGTTAAACAAGTACAAACCACAGACTGTCTGTGTCATGGCGAATACAGTCGCTGGTTTATTTATGTCTGTAGGCCGTTGTTGTGAGTGTGGACGGTCGGAGCATATACAACGTTAGCTTAGCCGATCTCCATTCAGAAAACAAGCATTTTAAAAGGTTTTTCGCCTGCCGTCTCGTCTGCACTGCAGACTTGTCAAAGCATTAATTCATGGTTTTTACTAACCGGTATCAGTATGTTGTTACTTCGGCATCCTTTTCAAATGTGTATTACAATTAAATCACGGTAAAATATGTTCATTTTGTTGTAGTTGTAGCCCCCTTGCCAGCGATTCTCTCTGACCATTCAGCAGTCGAGAGTGTTTACGTCACTAGTTTAGCATATTCAGCCCGGTTGTTGGCCCGGTAAGAACCTCGAATTTGGAGGGCCAGAAAAAAGGTGTAAAAGTAGCCCTGAGCCGTAACTACCCCTAGTGGAAAAGCAAAAAAAAAAACGGGCCTGGTTTGGCACGGCACGCTTAAACCGTGCTACGCACTGCAGTGGAAATGTGCCATAAGTTGCAGAGCAATTGCCAAAGTAAATTCATATTTAAATAAATCTGCCCTGATGGATATTCCTTTTTTACATTTCTATCTTTGGGATTATGTTCAGGATCCAGAATAAAGCAATTTATAACCAATTGTCGTCTCTAGTAATAGTAATAATATTATACATAACAGGAGCTGTCCATACAAAAAACACACGGACACTAACCTTTGCTTTTTTCAACAAACTTGTTTCCCCTTTCAAACCAATATCGCAATATCGACACCATCACAACAAATCTGAGTCGGTTTTTCATCTCTATTTTCATTATTATCTGTGATCATAATCATCTTTATGCATATTTAAATGAACTTCTTGTTACATCAAGATGAACAGGCACTACACCAGTTAGGAGATAAAAGTACATCACTAACTATGAACATACATCTTCTAGACCGCTAATATAGGGTTTCCACAACATGAGCTGCTGTCCCCTGTGTGCATAAGGAAGAGATCATCAACATAAAAAAGCATTTACATGTACACCTTTTTACTGCCTCAACATGGTTAGGTCTCATTTTTCAACTCAACACAGTTGTACAGTTACAATAGAATATAATCTTTAAATTACATCGTCATATACAAATCTGACAGCGTGGGATAACGTCACGCTTTTATGATACACTGACAATTCCATTGCAATGAAATTCATACGATATATCTATTATTTAACATGTTTCCATTGCTGATATTTTAATGAATCACATTTACATGTATAACACTACATTTTGTCTTAATAGTCAATCACTTGCAGTTTTTTTGGGAACTTTTTTTTTTTTCCTTACATTACATACATAACTCATACGCACTCGATGAAGAAGTTTTCCCCCAACATATTAACCTGGTAATGTGGAGCATGTGTTTGAATTTGCGTGTTTGTGTATATCTTGTGTTAAATGTATGTGTATTTAATATGTATGTGTGTGTTTGTGTGCATACGCGCATCAAGGAAGTGGGACAGTTTAATGATAGGAGTCCTTTTTGCTATGCTGGACAGCTTTACCCTAAGACACAACTTGTGAGCTGGTGATGTGTTTCTCCTCATGTGTGAGACCCAAACCTGTCAAATCCTGTTCCAGACACAGAGCTAAACACATCTGACTGCTGTTGGTCCAGTGACATTTTAAAACTTCAGGACAACTAGGTTATAAAAAGCATCTCTCCCATCTAATCAGAGATTTAGGTGCAACCCTTTGCATGATAACTCACTTAACATCAGATGCAAATTCCTGGTATTATTTCATTTCTATGTAGCAAGATTTAAAAATAACCATGTAATGCACTGTGCAAGAGTCATCTTCCAGGCAGTGCAATACTGGTGACAAATGTATTCCCTGTGTCATTGTGTGGTGTTTTGCGGACAAATTAAGTTTGGGTGGACTGGGAGGCAGCTACAAGCTGATTCTCACTGAAGCTGTTGTGATATGTAAAGTTATTGCATGGAGAGAAAACAGAAAGGTGATGGTATTGGGGCATTCTTTGGCTCAGCAGGGAAACAGACCACATAACTAGTGCTTTTTGCTAGGTAGGGCTTTAAATGACGGTGGAGAACCATGTTTAGACAACATGCCCTCTTTCAAGCCCAAACATACATTCATGTCCTGTTGAAGAGGCTTCGATCTTCAGACAACCGTCAGCACTACAATAACATGCCTCCATTGGCCTCTTGCTCTGGTCAAATGTGCCCGGCATTGTTCAGAACCCATCTCCTAAAACCCAAGAAGATGACTTGATCCGGGTTCGCTCAGAGGGAATGTATCGTGTTTCTTGTAAGCAGTAGTGAATTAAAATGAGACCTGAATCACTGAACCAAGAATGAAAGCTTCTGCAGAAACTGTTTCCTTTCCTTGGATTGCATGAAGATGATATTGTCAATGAGGTTGTGATGCTAAGAAAAGAAACATGTCAAAAACTAAACAAACAAACACAAAATCAGTTCATCAACAAGCTTCCTTTCATGAAAACAGAAGCATGTCCAGAAGATTGTGATGCTAACAAATGACCTCTGCATTTGCAGTAGAAGTGTTGCATCAAGTTGAAGCCGTAAGAAGGCTGCAGGATTCAGGGAATGCAAGTTTTTTGCATAGCACATGCTGCTATGCAAGTTCAGAAACAGTTAAAACACATAGCACTGCACACACTGGAAGAGAGGTTGGACCAAATCACAAAGAAAAACGAGAACAAAAATAGAGGATACTGTTTGTGGTACTTTAACACTACACAGCATTCCAGATGTAAGAATGACGACTGACCACACACAGCATTAAAAATGCTACACAGAAATGGCATCACACTGTATATACACAATGCAGGTTAGAGAAGCTCGTCTTTGTCGGATGGGTATAACTGATTATATTATCTTCCCATTTTCACAAGAGAAACGACTGCAGCGTACTGCAAGTTTAAATAAGCTGCATTATACGTTAAATACAGCTACACAGAGAAGCAATGTGTTCCTGCACTGACTTGATGGTATAGTTGAGTGTGTATATACTGGAATAACTGCTGCTCCTGTTTTTAAATGTGAAAGTCCACCCACCCCAAATGCTGGATAAAATATATTATACTGATATATTGTCTTTTAGGTTACTAAGTTTTTATTTAGGCAAGACTGCTCGGCGCATCTGTTGGGCAAGGGATGTGTTGCTCTTTAGTCTCTGGTTATGTGCGGGGTGCGATTGGACAGGACAGTTCAAGCTGCTTCCAATGCCGTGTCCTTGTCCAGTAACGCGGCTAGATTGGCTCGACGTAATTGGCCGGGTACAGTCCCTCTCGGCCAGTGTCCAAGCGACCTCTACACCAGCCTTGCTCATCTTCATCCTCAGTCTTGGTCAGTTCATCACCTGTGAAGGAGACACCACTCCGTAATCAACACGCAGTCCTCTGTCAAAAAGTGAATGTAAACCTCAATTATGATATCTGTGAACACCACTCCATACAGTCTGTTTTTCTACTTAGGGCAAAACTAAAGGCATGAGTCCAAATGAGTCTCAATTGGCACATCTCTGTACTAAGACTTGCTTTTTTGAGTGCATAAGTGCGTCACACAGAGAAGTAGGGCAAAATGCAGTACCCAGATTGTGCGCTCATAACAGTAAACAAGTTTGAGTTTGAACGTAAAAACGTCTCACGATATATGATAGCCATCTTGGCTACGTAACAGAAGTGGAGGAACCAGCAGCGGTTGCTCAATGCACTATACAAATATAAGTTATGATAAAAGCCATCAGTATGTGAGGATATGGGCAGGCTGTAATTGCTGGTTTCTGCAAAACAATAACGTTGCTAGCTAGTTAGCCTGTGTCACACTATGCAAGTGTTGACAGTATAAAACATGGCAGTGCACTGACGGAAATATCCAAATTGAGACAGGGCACAGGTTTCTCGCATTCCCAGAAAAAAAGACCCAAACATTTTTTCTCTTAATCATTTGGATTTTGCATATTGTATCTAGTTACTTAAGAAACTGTTTGACATTTTGGAAATGTTTGTTCACATGTACGCACAATACTTTGTTTGATTCACACATGCACAACTACATGTGTGACCCAATACAATTCCTGCCACTGGTTTCATAATTTGCACTGTTGCACAGGCGGAGAAAAAGCCCCAAGAAAATCAGCAATATGACAAAAAGGTGCAAAGAAGAAGAAGACTGATCGCAAGTTAACATGGATTCAGACAAGGCAGGCTTCTAAAGATTATAAAAATCAGCTTTGCAAATGAGAAAGTAAGTGCATCTAGTTATTTTTTAGTGCAAAGCTTGTTTTTAAGTTGTTACTCATGTCACTGCGTCACTATTTCCACATCATTTCCCACACACCAGCTCCTTAATTGGTGGAAAGTGCCTGTAATTTGTTTTCCATGTGGCAATTATTGACTAATTACTGCTATCTTCTAAAGAGGAAGGGAGCTTAAGAATAGAAAATAGGACAGACTTGAACATTTTTGACCACCTGTTTTATGTGTGTCATCTTATCTTAAAAGTCCTGTCTCCAGGGTTCTTTACTATAGTTTAATTAGATCATAAATTAATGGGTGGACTGTAATATGGTGGACACCACATCATATTACTTACCTGCTTTGAAGGTGAGCTCATCCTGTTCCTGGCCTTCATAATCATACAGAGCACGGACGCGGACCCCGGCCGCGGCCACGGTCACGGCCACGGCCACGGCCACAGCCCCGACCCCGGCCCCGGCCCCGGCCCCGGCCCCGGCCACAGCCCCGGCCCCGGCCACAGCCCCGGCCCCGGCCCCGGCCCCGACCCCTTTCCCAGTGCTGGAATCATCTTCGAAAGAATTCCCGTTTCCGCCATTTTCGTTGCCAGAGTAAGAAGCGGGCTGCTCATCATCGGACCACTCAGTCGAGTAAGCTTGGTTTTTTTCATAGCTGCTCACACTGGAGGATAGAGGAAATGCAGGGAGAGATTTATTTGAAGAGAAAACAAATCGCATGAAAAGGTCAAACCAATGATGAATTGATCTTGTAATAAGTAGTGTCAGTGTAGTTCCTCTGTGCCACAGATCTAACTGATTTAAAACACATCAATAAAACTCACTGTTGCACTGGGAGACATTCTCCTAGTTATGATGAACATGGGAACTGTAGCTTATTCAGAATTGATCCCACAAGCATCATCCTGCTGCTGCCAATACACACTATTATGCTAAATCTGCACCTACAATGAGTCCCAAACATAAACACTATTTACTCCTGTTTGAGTGTCTTTGTTTTGTGTTTTTTGCCTTAAGATACAATAAAAGTGTATCAGTGAGACCCATTTTTTAAATGTATTTATTATGAACCAATGGGCAGGACAGAGGAACGCAACTATGAGATGCAGAATACATTAAAGAACAGTACAATAAAAGACTTATTCTGCTGAGATGCACCACAACAAAATATTCTGTTCATATATCTGATTTGAATCCTTCAATAATCTATTTATACTATACATTTCAACCAATATTCTTATTTATGTTATTCTTTCATTTTCACATACTTATTTGTAAACCCCTTCTTTCAGTAAAAATAATTTATTGTAACATGTATGTATATATTTAAACATTAGTAGTAGTATTGAGTAGAATCCACATTTTACATTCAAATTTCTTATTGTTCTTATAATTTCTCTAGGTTTTCTAATTGAATTGAGAAACTGTAACAGCAAATTCCCCCCAGGGGTCAATAAAGTATTTTTTTATTATTTTCATTTGTTGACAAACACTCAAATATATTAGTATTACCAATCTAATCTTTCAATGATTTCAAATAACTTTAACAAATATTTCTTCACTTTATTCAATCTAATAATGAAATGTGTGGGCATGATATACGTTCATAATTAAATAGAGTGCTTCAATGTGATCATACGGATGTATTACTGACCTGCTCCGGTCACCAGGTGGAGCCACATGGTCGGTGCTCGGAGTGGGTGGGGCTCCGTCTGGCTTCTTCTTCTTTGGAGGAGCACTGGTCTGGTCTGGGTTGTATTCCTGGAGATGAGAATACAAAAAAGGGGTAAACTCACAATAAAGAAGAGTAATAAAGTAGAGTAGAGGTATATAGTGTTTGTGTTTATGACAGTATAGATATTTCACCTCGAATGCAGGCCAGTTCATATGCATGTCGGGGCCGTGGTTGTTGCTGAACCACTTCAGGTCCTCTTGTGTGTTTGCACCCAGGATCGTGCGCTCCAGCTCTCTGTATGTTGCGGCATAGCTGAGGAGAGGAAAGTGGAACAAATAGTGACGATGAAAGTGCCAGCAGAGACGCGGGGGGGGGGGGGGGGGGGGGGGGGGCTGCCAACTTGGCAACAGAACCCACAATGGAGCTCAAAATCTGGGCTGAGAGGGATCCAATATCGGGTCCTGACAAAACTGCAGTGTCTCCCTGAGTTTTCTGCTGAAGCCCTCAACAGATGAAGTATTTGGCCTGATTCAGCCTAATAATCCCTTACAAGGATATATTTGTTCATGTACTTTTTAACTATATAATAGTTTTTAAGGGAACATTCATGTCGTTTTCTACGGGATGAACCATCTGACTGGGTTTCTTATAAAAATACAGTGAAAATATATTCATCCTCAGACAGTCTGTTGTATTATTCAGCTCAGAGCACAACATGATCCACGTTTTTTTCAAACATTTAATAAAAAACAGAACATTAAATGATTCAGTAATCCTAAAAGAATATTTAAGCATGATTGATTAATGTTTAATTGAATTAAATCCAAGCCAATTTAATATTGTCTAGAGTAGCTGTGGTGATCAAGATCAAACTGAATCAGAATGAGTTTGTCTGTAATGATAATGGCTTCAGCTCATTATGCTAAAGGGTGGTAATGTGTTACTTTAAGTCCTTATTTAAAAGTAGGTTATTGCATTTGTAGAAATAATACTTAGTTGTGGAGGGCAATACTAGTGAGGTCATAAAGAGCTAAGGAGCGGTATGAAATAGTTATTAATGAACCATATTCAACGTGAAAAATGACACCAGTCAAGATTAAGTACCCAGCAATCCCTTTAAACGTCTTGATTCATGACTAAAAATGAAGGGAGGTCTGTTAAAAGATCATTAAAAACCTCATTAACATTGGGTCGGCTTTGTTGTTGCCTGAGGGTTAAAAACAGCACAAAGTATGACAGGCTTTCACTGTGAACACAATTCAGTTTGGCAGAAACGTCATTGACTGAATAATCAATTAATTAGTGCTGTGAGACTCGACGCTAATGAGAAATGCATGCCTGGTTGAGAAGTGTGTTGAGATTAATCAGTTTGAAGTGAACTGTGCTGAATGTGACACAACAAATCAAGATAATCCATTATGAATTGTGTTTGCAATGTGATTATTTCTGATTGAAGGTACAGGTACAGTATGCTATCATGCTCAAGGAATTATTAGCCGTGTTGCACACAGTTTAAATAGGAATTCACTGAAAATACATCTGAAAGAGTGGGAATAGAGAGGTTGACTGCAGCGGTAAGACTAAAAGCTAACTCGCATATCAGGGAAAAAGCAGCCAGTGAACCTATCCAGCATCTCTATGAAGCCGTAATAAAAGGGTCTCTTTCCGCCCCGCTAACCTTGCGTTCTCGGTGAGGTTGAGATGGCGTTTGATGTCCAGCAGGGCCTCCTTGAGGAAGGTCAGCCTCTTGACTTCATGCTGCTGGCACTGGTCAAACACCTGCTCCATGCACTCCATGTACTGCGCGGTGCACTTATTCAGCTCCTCCAGAGACTTCTCATACTTTTCTTTAGCCTGACACAGAAAACAGAGAACACAGAAAACTGAAGCCTCTGTGGAGAAAAACCCAGCATGGTTGCATTATTTATTATATTTAAAGAGCTGGCTTATTTGTAACTTGATATTCTGGTAATACATTAATCCCAAATGTATGTAATCAATAAAAATGAGCAACTAGTACGGGCAATGTTGCGCCAAAAATGTTCTGTTCTCCAAAAATACTAACATCAAAAATATGAAAACCCACTTTTCCTTTCACACTGCATTTATCTATCACTACACAACACCTTATAATATGGAATATGTCAAAATAACATGAAAAACAGCCATTTAAAACCCTGCCAGGGAACTAGTACAAAACATAAGAGCCTTGACCAGCAACATAAGACACACACAGAAACCTCTTTGTTCTTCACTCGCCTGAAATTAAACAAACTAAAAGACTTTCATCTTTCCCCTTCTTACCTTCTGTGAATCCTGTTTGCATTTGTCCACTTTCTCGTGGAGTTTCTTCTGCTGGTCCGCGGTGACAGAAGCCTCCGTCTTGCCGTTGGCCTCTCGGGCCGCAGCCAGCTTCTCCTCCTTGCAGGCCATGTGGTAAGTCTTCTTAGCTGCCTCCATCTGTATGACCAAACACAGGCAGTGTCAGAGTCTCATATACATTTGGGCTAATGTCACCAAACAACAAGAAAGGCATGGTTCCCCCTGTATTGACCATAATGTCAAGTTTAATAATGATTGATAATATTTTAATCGTTTAACCTTTATTAGAATTAAGGCATTTTTATTACTATTATCTTTTTCTTTCTGTTGTACCTATATGTTCACTTTGTTTTATGGGGTTTTATATTGTTGCATCGAGTCAGTTTTATCTGTCAGAAAGAAACCATTATTTATTTTGTTTTATTTCTATTATCATACATTTTACCTCCTTGTGTCTGTTAACCTGTCAAAATGTTATATTTTGCTGCATGTACCTGTAAAGTTCTTAACAAATCATCTGAGGGGAATGTCTTGTTTATTTTTAACTTGTGATGTGTCATTTTGTAAAGCACTTTGAGCTGCATGTGTTGTATGAAAAGTGCTATATAAATAAAGCTTTATTATTATATATTATTATAAGTGGATGGATGTTGATTTGATAAGATATGAACAGAAGAACCAGAAAGCAGCTGGTAATGAGGTGAGTACACCAAGAACAAAATGATGATTGATGTTGAGGATTTGTTTCCATCGCCCTCACCTCCTTGAGCTTTTTGGCCCAGGGTTTCTGAGCCTTCTTGAAGCCTTCCTCGGCCTCCTTGGCCTCTTTGAAGCCTCCGATCATCTGCTTGTGATAGGCCTCCTTCTGCCAGTTCTTCACTTTCTCCACGTCCTCGTTCACCAGGTTGTTCTTCACATCTTGGTGCAGCTCGCTCACCTTCTCTGCCTCGGTCATCACAGCCAGCCAGGCTCTCTCCACAGAGCCGTACTGCGGGCCTGCGGGCGAACAAAATCATTTATTCCAGATCAAACATTCAGAGCAATCAGCAGCAGTCAAATATTACCACAGAGCTAACATCAAACTGTGTAAACGGAGCTTTGGCAAATTGAAAATCAGCGTAAGGTACATTCATTTGTTGAGGTTTTTATTTTATTGACCCAAATCCCCCGTGCTGACCTTTCTCAATGAGCTGTCTCCACCTCTTGGACCATGCAGTTAGCTGATCCCCGTAGGATTTCTCTATCTTGGCACGCTCCTGCAGGCAGCCCATGAGGTCATTGCAGAGCCGATGGCCGTCATCAAATCTCTTGACAGCACGTTTGTAGTTCCCCACCTGAGAACACAAAGATTAAACAGGTTAAGGAACAGAAAGAACATATGTTTTAACACATATGATATCACAGGAGCAAAATAATTGAAAAAATATACAAAATATTGAATAACCGATAAAATATTAGGTTTTTGAACGTTTTTTCTGTACAGAATGGTTGTGCATAAACCACCACAGTTTAGGTGGTCATATATTTGTACAATATATAAATATTTTAAAGAAAACAGGCAATGATTTCCTGATTCTAGGTATAGGCAGATTTGTCATACCCTATAATGGATGTTAACCAACAGTGAATATTTATCCTGAAACATACAGTCAAATAAATATATGATATGCACATTAAAAAGCTTTTCAGCAATATTTAATTTCCAAATATATAAATAAATATAAAAACTAAATATTTGCCCATTATCATAATTTGCAGACATAACAGCATTCAGGATTGGTTTACTGCCTTTTCTTTTAGATCTCACCACCTTAAGCGATACCGCCTTAAAAGAGCCATGCCAGGCTCCGCCTCCTCAGTGCCTGCAGGGGGCGTGAGCTCATGGTGCATGATGAAGGGAGGGTAGTGAGGGGGGGGGGGGATGCTCGTGCCTGTGCATGTGTAGTTATGCAATGACATGGGCTTGTGTTTGTGTGTGTGTGAATGAGTGTGTGTGTGACTGCTTTAATCCTCTTGAGTGGTGTAATGCAGGCAGACAGATTCTTAGGGATGGACGTCGAGGTAGAGACAAATATAAACAGAATCCACATATGTATGTGCTGTAAACACGAACAGTCATCCACACATCATCACATGTAGTAGATCCTGTACGGTGTGTTCTCTGGCTGCAGCGCTGCGCTCTGATTGGTCCTGACACGAGCATGCATGTGTGACTACTGTTTGAGATGAGGGAGCTGCAGGGAGGCAGTGAGAACAGGTGTGTGACGGTGTGAGTTTCGGCCTGTGTGACACATTGCCAACTCACACAAACAAAAACATGCAGGTGGACTGGCACCGCAGATAAAAACACGCCTGAGCTCTTGTATTTGCACTGTGTGGTGATGATCTCATCCATCACTGCTCAGTATATCAAATATCAACGTATCTGATGAGAAAATCTAAGAATAAAAAAATGTTTCCTGGTATTTCTACACCATGAGCTGAGCCTTGCTGAGTTGTTGGTATACAGATGCTACAGGCAGGTGCATGTGCTGAAAGGCCCCTCAGAGCGACTGCTGACTGAAGCTCTTTGTGTCTCCGTCTAAGAGCCTTGACACAAAGAAGACTCTGTACTGAGGGAATTAATTAACGCTCATTTGGGGTGGGTCAAAAGTACACACGCTGCATCTCAGCACAACAAGTGAGGATGGATTGCACTTAGATGATGTTTATACTCGTTGTGATGTGACCTGTGATGACATTTACAACAAGCATGATTTACAATACTTAAAGTGACAAAATAAATGTAGTGTTCGCTCAAATAAGGAATCAGTGTGTTGAAGAAGTGCCTGTAGCAGGGTCTCAAATCTTTAAGGACATCTTTATTATCAATTCCATTTACTTTCTGTTCCAAACGTGAATGATTAGGGCTCATGCACCAAAAAATGACGTTTGCAGTTGTCTAATTTTCTTTTGTTTATGCTTAAAAATCTGCCATGGAAACTGCCTGATACACCAACAAAAATACTAAGTAAGACTAAATCCACAATTACTAGCTCATACTTTTGTTGATGTATCATAAGTATTTTTACTTTGTATCATCCAAACCTTTATGATATGTTCTCCTCTGACAGAAATGAGCTTTATTGACCGAAACACTGTAAGCATTAATTATGTGAATTGCCTAGAAATAGTACATGCCAGGTCAAAAAAGGAGATATACAAATTTGAATAATACCATTTCATTACTTATCATTCTCATTCCTTTTAAAAGCTAAATCCTATACGGACACTACTGACTACAGGCAACTATGTTCTATAGACTAGTTAAACCCAAAGACTAGTTATGTAGTTGTTCAATTGCAGTTAATGCATTACATTTTTGATTTAGAATAACCTTTACGAGGGACGTAAGGGACCGCAGGCTTGCATCCCAACTTTGTGGGTCACCAGCTCTAACAATGTGCTATATGGCGGTCCATATATGTAAATGTTGTAATTATTGTGATGAAAATACAGACTCTGCAACTCTCCTTTTCCACAAAATATTTGTAGCTGCAGTTCTGTTTAATGAGGTGGGGGAAATCCTAATCAGGTCACCTTTAAAAAGCTCTTTGTTTAAAGCAATAGCCAGACATTTTTGGAGATACTCTTGCTAAAGGTAGGATGAAAAGATAGATACCACTCAGACTGTCTGCCAGCAGCTACTTAGCAGAAAGTGGAAAAACAAGGCACATTTGAATATTGTATCAATGTTCTCATCTTAAAGCAAGATTGCTTTTACTTTAAAGCATAAGGCCATGCCTAATTCTTTGAATGGGCTTCCAGCGTAACAATCTGCATTGAGTCTCAGTGGGAATCGAACAGCTTTGCTCAACTTTAAGAGATTCAATGAAAGAAATGTTGCTTTTAAAACTTGGTGAAAGATATTTCATTCAATGTTCTTTTGTGGTGACTGTTTGCCTTCAGAAGCAACATAAACACAAGACAAAAAGGAGGGTAAGGGCCTGGGATGCAGGTAGAAAACTCTTGAGAATAAACATGACATTGTTTACCTCCCAGAAGCTGTCCATGGTGTCGTCAGCACCTGCACATTCATCGTAGGAGCCAGACATTTTCCTGGATGTGGCAAAGCACTCTAATGACTAAACCTGTCCTCTGCAGCAGAGCTGGGTTCCTCATGCACTGAAAGACACAAAGAGAACAACAACAACAATGTCAGTCTGTGACTTTATAGCACAAATACAGTAACAAAGAAGTACAGTGCATGTGCATGAGCGGACATTAGGAGGCCATACTGGCCTCTGTGCCTCACTGAGGAGAAGCAGTGTAGGAAATGTCCCTGGCAACTACAGGAAATCTTTCAGTGTGAGGGTTTCTATTTGAGACGTTTATAATAATGAGATAAAAATAGACTCCTCCGCCATGCATACAGCGCCGTGCCCTCAGGAATGAGAGAGGGCATCTTATATTGGCGTGTCCTAGAAAAGATACCAGAGAGTGGAGCATCGCGACCATCATGCATCACACTGCTCTGACCCTGGATGCTTTCACTGAGCATATACTCATTCTTTTGACACATTACATCCGAGATGGTTCAATAACAAACACTCACAAATGCACTGTACACGTTTCGCTAGGTTTACCCATGTGTGTAAACATAGGATGCTGTAATGGCCCCCGATATTACGATGACCATTATTTATATATTCAGCCTATTTTGCCAGTGTTTACAGTAGGTTTCAGTGTCCTTTGTCTCTCTGTTTATATTGTACCACTGTCTATTGTTGTCGTTAATATGAAATCTTTAGTTCATGTTTTGTTGGTATAACGCCAATTACCAAAAGAAAGACTCAAAACTAAATAGTACATTCGATTTCTTATTGGATTTAAATTGAGGGTTAAAAATAATTGTGCATTCCTAAATATACAGATACAAGATCAACAAACCTATTTTTAAACCTATAGATGTCCTTTAATGATGTGGGTTAATCACCTATTACTTTGCAAACCCTAAATAATACAGTCCCTGCTGGATTTCCTCCAGGGTTTAAGGTGATTTATATGTATTTGTTTGACGTCTGGTCGATAGTTTTATCGGTATTGAACTCAGTTTGAAGCAGAATCCATTTTGCTCACATGACTAATGGCTTTCCCTGGACGGAGAGCTCTTCATCGCACTGCAACCAACAATATGACAGAATATTACATGCGTTTCTGTTGATAATGTTTCTCCTCTGACTAGATCTCGTTGTCTTAATAAGAAGCAGTTGATTGTGGTTATTATTCTGCATGTGGCCCACTAGTGCACACTTTATTGCAACCTTTAATTAAAACAATAATGACTTTCTTAAAATGTTATTATGATCACAGTTAGTGATTCCTAGTAGGCCCAAATGCATATTAATGGTCGTCAAATAGCGTAATAGACAGAGTTCACTGCAGATGAAGGTTGACTCGAGGCCATTTCAGATTAGAAGCTGAGTCTGCACTCTTCAGTCGGCTGAAGCACAAGAAATGTGAAGTTTAAAATATTACCAGCACCCTTCGTGCTCCATCCTTCAACTTCCTCCGCAGTCAAGTGAAAACTCATTCCTGCTACATCCTTCATCCCTGAAGTGACTCATGTAAAATGACTCTCTGCGTTAGGCTCAATTTGAACCAGCCTGACCTCCCTTTTCCTTATTCATAATATAACAACATCATTGTCCTTGTGAGGAGAATAAACAGCCCTGCTACAAGGTCAGCTTATGAGAGTATCATTATTTTTAGTAGCTGCAACACTCTGTTTTCACAAGGGGTCTACTCATCAAAAATGTTATCAGGGGAACATTCGTACCCGGTGTGATTGGTTCTGGTTTCAGCTGCAGAACGGGCAATCTATTCCTGCTCGCTCAGTGTTTCCAGAGAACATCGACTGATTGAGCCAAGCTGTATTTTATCAAAAGCCTCGGTTAGTGTCTCCAGCCCTCACAGTCCGTGGGGCTCCCAACAGTAGAGGCTTTCATACACTGGCTATATTTCAAGAGTGCACACCACAAGATACCAAAGAACTAGTTAATGATTTGGCATCAGAGTCTGAATCAGAGACAACTTGAACTCTTTAGCTGTACAGGGATCAGCTGCAAAGTGTATTTCTGGTCATTAATCTTATTATTTCCTGAAAAGCTCAGAAAAACTCCATACCTACAGGGTAGATACAATAAAGTACTACATGATGTTTCTCTCTATTTGTACTGAACATAAAGGAATACTTAAGGTTTTTACAATCCAGAAATGTACAGGTAATGTCCTAATCCAGACCTGTGAATGTCTGTCTTTATATGCAAAAGACAGTAAATATGCATATTAAAGTTTACATGAATATACTTTTACAGAAAATCTGCTATGAACCTTTTCTGCATCTTGAATTCAGCTTATTTTCTATAATCGTAAGACAAAGCCCAAGTAACCCCCTCTTGAAAATGGCAACACAAACTGAGGAGGCCTGTCAGTCACCCTCATATTCTGTACAACTAATTTAAGATCAATTTGCATTGATAGTGACAAGTCAGGGGGGGGCGTGTGGCGCAGTGGATAGAGCATTCGTGTTTGGATCAGGGGGTCACAGGTTCAAACCCCACTGTAGTCAGCATGTCGTTGTGTCCCTGGGCAAGACACTTCACCCCAAATTGCTCCTGTGGGGATTGTCCACAGTATCGAGTATGTAAGTCGCTTTGGATAAAAGCGTCTAACAAGTGACATGTCATGTAATGTCATGACAATGAACAGACATTAAGTACAGCACCACGAAATACCCTTCCTCCCGTCCATAAGAAATATGCTATTTTGATGTTTGTGGTTTTCTTTTTGGACATTTTGGTTGAATATGCTTATTGCTTTGAGGATTTGAGATAGATATAAGGAGATAAGGAGGTAGATATTACTCACATACAGGCTGTCTATTTGTAAAGGTAACAACATCTGACAACCAGCACCTCTATAGCTCACTAATTACCATACTATATCTTGATTGTTAAACTGTAAAAGCTGAAGAGTTACTGGAGGAGGCTTCTTATGGACCATACAGACAAGAAAGTGGTATTGATCTTCACATCTAACTCCTGGCAAGTAAGGCAATAAATATCTTAGAAATGTTAAACCATTACAAATCCACAGTAAGACTCAACATTAAAGATGATTTGCTCATAACATCACACTGCCAAAAGAATATTTGTGTACCATAAGGTACATGTGTAACCAAGGAAACCAATGATATTTTTTTTAGAGTAAAGCCTACTTGCGATGATAGGTGAAAGTGTGGATATATGAAACAAACGGGCTCATACTTTTTTTCACTCCTGGCTCATACTTATTTCACTTATTTCAACAGTGCTTGCACTTGGTGAGATTAGTCTGAGGCTCTATTCTCAGTAAAGGCAGGATCATAAAAACAGCACATGTTAAAGACTCAATCTGCCTTAAATTCATACCTGATTAGGTAAGCAAATGTTTATATTGCATTTAAGAAATGTTTGAAGAAAATATCACACTGAAAGCTACATAAAATAGAATTAGACTGAATAATGCAAGAAGGTCCCAAGCAGCTAAGCAGCCCTAAAGTAGCAAATCTTAATCTCAGCAAGTCAAACACCATTGGTCCGGCTGCCTGTCCCTCAATCCGTCCTCCAATTAGCTTCTGAGTCCGCGATTACAACACCTAGTGAAATGAAAGCCAGTTAAGCTCAGGCCCGATGCCAGAATCCCATCTCATAACAAAAGCCAATGCATCCAGAGGCTTAGGTTAACCAAAACTCATACTCAAACCAACACACACTTGATGAGGTCTAGAAAGCATTTGGATTAAGGCGTTAAATCCCAGACAGCAGTCCACACATTTTCTTGAATCTCAAACTAGAATGCAGCATGGATGATATCATAAAAGGTGAAGATATAAAACCTGAGAGCTGACAGTGAGGACAAGTCAGCACCCTTAGCTCACTGGGTTAAACAACACAGACAAAACACAGTACATACATCTCAGTTTAGGTTCGTTACGGGGGATTGCTGCGTGTCCCATGAGACAGATAGGAGTGGGGGGTTGGAGTAATAAGCATTGTGGAGAGTGGCTTATAGTTATTGAGGTCAATCCACCTCAATGACTGTGAACACACCTCCCATTCACCATTATATTGACTGGTATGGAAGTAATTATGAATAAAAAAATGTTTTTCTGATATTACTCATGTTTTAGCAAAACTAATGTGATATAAATGGAACATAATAGCAAAATAGGCCTTTATAATGAGAAGAAACAAGCAAAACATTGCATATATAAAATAATAAAGTTACAGCTGGTCTCTAAAAGACACATTTCTTCACTGGATGCATTGAAACTGTTAACAACCCACTCACTGACCACAACACTTGTTGCTGTCAGAGCGATCTCTTTTGTGATTCAAAGCCTTTTGTTGCGGTTGCAGAGGCGTTATTGTTGCCCAAAGCTGGCAAAGTATTACAATTCAAACTATTGCACATTCTTCTGCACATCCACTTACCAGGGTTGACTCCATCTTTGAAAAAAAACTAAAACAATCCCAGATTTTGAATTCAAACACCACTCCCTGAAAAGACTCCTTGTGGATGTTTGAATTAATTTGTAGTCCAGATGTGTCCTTGGTTGCAAGTTTTACTTTTGCACCATTGACCTCTGTGGCCAAAGTGAATGCAGAGAGGACGATAAGTCTGACCAACCCGGCGTCTCTCCGAGGCTGTGGGATAATCCTGCAGTGTGCCACTTGAGTAGCTTTAGTGGGGGAGGGTGCTAGCTAGGAAGAAGAGCCAAGAAGCGGATAGGACAACTGAGACCGACACACACAACCTGGAGATAAGAATGTGATATGAAACTGTAATTATGATATTATATACTGGCTAACAAGAGAGCTGCACACAAATGTTGCAATGTTTGTTTCTGCATGTTGATACATGTCTGTGCAGTGGTGATAGAAAGTAAACACTTCATCACAAATGCACTGCAGGCACTAACAGCCCTGCACTTTCTGTCACTGAGTTCACAGCAACATGACAGTTAATACTGCAGGTATCTGATAAACGTGAATGCTTTTAAGAGAGTTAAAGAGAACCAATGATCCAGAGGAGACAAATGTCACAGCCACAGTCAGAAGGTCCAGTGTTGACAAGCCTTC